GGGGTTTTCATACCTGTTTTGGTGCCCCAGCGGCACCCTGAGCGTGGCACTGATCCTGCCCGCCGGGCTCAGCCCCTGGTGCACGCCTGTACCCTCTGCCAGCCCACAGAGCCCAGGTCAGCCCTTCTTGCCCCTAAACAGCCCCGGTGCCTCGGCAGCAGTGTGCCAGGGCCTGGCTGGGGACAGGGACACCGCTCAGCTCCAGGCCTGGCTCAGTACCAGCAGGGCACACGGTGCCTTTTGGGGCTGGGGCTGGGCAGCAGCGCCTGTGCCTGCCAAGGGGCTCGGCTGGGACACGCTGTGTGCTGAAGAGGCTCCGTGCGAGGGAGAAACCGTTGCAGGCCTTTTCTGCTGAGTTTGCACCCCTGCTGCACCTTTGGGTGCTACTGCCTGTGCCCAGTCCCCCCCTCTCGCTGGCTGCATCCGTCCCCAGGGGTGCCCGGGGTGGCAGCAGAGGTGCAGAGAAGGCTCAGCCCCGGGATCGCTGCGCTCCCACAGGTGTTTCTGTGCAAAGTTTGCCTTTGGTGCAAACAAGAGCAGGCACATGTCCCCGAGGAGCCTTTGCAAAGAGCTCGTGTTTGCGCTCGGAGAGGCCTTTGTACTTGGAGAGGGAGCTGGGTAGGGGAGTCGGGAACCATTTATTGCAGCCACGCACGGGGGCTAAACCCCCTCTGCTCCCGCTCTCCCGGCGTCGGCGTCCTGACCCCAGGGCCAGCTTGGTCTTGGGCTATTCCTGCATCCCTGGGGGTGCTCAGCCCCACAGCTCTTTTTGGGACTGCGGTGCGGGCTTGACCTCCCACCCGTGGCGTGGGCAGGAGTTGCCCATCACGGTGGTCCTGAGCGGTTCTCCCTGGCCGCAGCCCCTCGGCAAGTGGCGTGTTCCCTTGGACCCGTTCATGGTGCCCCAAGAGCTTCAGCTGATGGGGGTGGGAGAGGGGCAAGTGCCACCCCGCGGGCGGGCTGGCCCCGGTGCCGGCACGGTGGTTTCTCGCAGAGCCCAGCCAGAGGGGTGCTGGTGGCACGCAGAGCCCCGCTCCGGGGCGAGACGCCCCGTGGCTCTCTCCCTGCCCCATCAGGGCTCACCCGGACCCCACTTGGGCAAATAATGTACCCCAGGAGCACCCAGATCCCATGGGCCTGGGGACCGCAGGAAAGCCACCCATCCTCGGCCAGAGATGCCCCGAAGCCGCTCCGAAAGGTGTGGGGAGCGGCGGGCGCAGCGCACCTCCCCGCGCCGATTCCCTGTGTGCACAGGGAGATGCAGATTAGATAGATCATTTCTGTAGGGAGCCGGGTTTATAATCCATCTGTATAAATTCTTGGCATATTTCTCCGAGGATGTGGAGTGTATTTACCTGTTTTCAAGGCTGACAAAGGGGGTGAGCGGGTCCAGGAATCCCTGGGGAGACGGACGGGCTTTGCCCCCTGCCTGCATGTGAGGCTGGAGGGGGAAATGCCTCTTTCTCGGTCAGCGTTCGTGGCCGGGCTTCGTTGGGGTTAATTTTGTGCAAGAAAAAAACACCTTTCCCTGATTTCAGTGGAGAAGGACCATGGAGCCAGGGCTATAAACTGGTTTTCCAGTATCACAAAGCACTCCTGGGTTGGGTTGGTTGGTTGTTTTTTTTTTTTTTTGCATATAAAGTCCTGGTGAATATTGGACAATTAACGTGGGGTTTTTTTTTTTTCATTTTGGTGACAGAACCAAAAAAAAACGGGCTTGTGTTGAATCAAAAGGTTTTTCTCTCTGGCTTTTTAGGTTAACCAAAAAAGAAAGGAAAAAAAAGGCCAAACAAACACTCAAACGTTTCATTTTGGGTCAAGTCCAAACATTTTGTTTAACATGAAACAAAATGTTTGGGTTTGGTTTCAGGTTGTTTAACCCTTTTGAATACGGTCAAGTTGATTTGTAAAGAAAAATCACTGCTCAGAAATTAAGAGCCGAATAATTGTTTTGAAAGTATAAGTGTGACACAGGCTGGAAATATCAAGGGGAAGCTTTTCTTAAGGAGGAAAACTGGAGGGAAACGCAGGGACTTTTTTTTTCCTAATTCTCACGTATTTTTTTTCCAGCCAAAAAGCTGCCAAATTTTATTTAAATTCAGAAATCACGTCCGTAAGCCCCGAGTCACTTGTGTGACATTTTACAAGTGTGCTCCGTTGCACTGGCTCGCCATTTAACTTCGGGGAAACGACGCCCTTGGCTTAGTTGTGAACCAAACTGCTGTTAGAAATGCTAATGAGCTCTGTTCCATTAACTTATTGTCAATCAGTAATTAGTAGGATCAGTTGGGTGACAGAACTCGGTGTGAGCCCCTCGGCTTGGGCACGGCGGGCTTTGCCCCGCTTCGCCGGGACGGAGCGCGCGGAGGAGAAGAGCCGCCGGGGAAGGACGTTCTCTCCACATCCTTGTTGGCTCCTGCCTTCTCCTGGGGCAGCACGAAGACCCCAGAGCCCCGAAATCCCCCCGTGCCGCGGCCGTCCCCACCGGCTCCTGGTGCTGACCGGCAGCGAGCGCCCGGCGGCGAAGTGCCCCCACGTTTTGGGGACAGGAGCAGGCTTTTCTGTTTGCCCCGCGCTCGACCCAGTCTGGGCTCGGGGCCGTTGGGCAACCCGGGGTCAGTGCGAGCGCGTGCCCGTGCCCCCGTCCAGCCCCGCAGCTCTGCGGTGCCGCAGAGAGGACACCACATGTACCGCGGGGTTCCCCTGCCCGGAGGACGCAGGACCGGGCACAGGGACAACGTCTCTAGGAGGCTCCGTGCCCTCCTTCCCGGGGGGCGACCAAGCCCCCGCTGCCGTCAGCGGGCTGCCCGCGCTCGGGTGCTTTTGCTGTGGATCCAACCAGCTTTGTTTTCACGCTGCATTCAGGACAAAAAAGTAAGAAATCTACTTGGTGGTTGGGTTGTTTTTTTTTTTTCCCGTGCCAAGCTGAAGGATCCAAAATAAGTGATGAATTGGGAAAGCAGCCGGACGGTTATTCCAAGCGCCGCGTTAGAGTATCGCATTATTTGAGTGCACGACTGTGACCAGGCTCAGGCTCCACACCGATTTTTCGGCATTAAAGCACTTCCTTTTAGCCCGGCGTCCTCCCGAAGTGCGGAATAAATCTGGGGTCTTGAGCACAGCGAAAGCGCGTCGGCCTGTTCCGCTGCCTTCGCGTCGTGCTTTCGTTAGAGCTGAAGAGCGCCGACAGCATTCTGAGTTTTGCCTCTAATTTTATTTGTTCCCTAAATTGGTGTCAGCCACCCCAAGGACACCAAAGTAACGCGGATTTAGGAAAGAGTCATTTTACACCTGGATCCTGCAGGAGCCAAATTCAAGCCTTTAAAAATATTGAACAACAACTCAATATTATTGGGGGGGGGTGGGTTTGGGTTTGGTTTTCCATTCGGGGACTTGCTTGGGTTTGACCTTCGCCTCTCAGCCTTTTGCCTATGGCCCGCGTGTGCGCTTCGCTGTTGTGAGAGCGTGGAAATAGGGTCTCGTTTAAATGAACATGGACATTTTTTGATAATTATCTCTGCGGGAACGGAAGGGAGAAGCTAAAGCAGCAAGCGGGGCAGGTGGGGTTTGGTGGCCATGCGGGGATCCCTGCGAGCCGGCGACAAGCGCGGGGGCACAGGGCAGGGACCGCACCCGGGACCCGGGGCAGGAAAAGCATCCTTGGCCCCTCCGAATGAGAGGATTCTCTTTCTTCAGAGAAATATCCCTATGGGCTTCCCGTGTCCATGCCCCATAGGGGTGTGTGTGTGTGTGTACCCCATCGGGCACGTACCCCTTCGACGGGAGAAATTGCGGTGAACGTAATAATGGCAGTGGTTAGTGGATGGGCTGCACTTGAATAGAACAGAAAAAAAATGGAATAAATAGAATAAAAAATAGAATAGAATAAAATTGAAGGATCTGGAGGTGCTTTACCAGCATCGATAAGACCTTGGTGTGCCCCATCAGGACACTGGCATCCGCTTTACTTCTCCCCCGCTGGGTGAACAGCCTGGTGGGCATCCCTGGGGCGGCCGTGGCACCCCGTGAGCCCCCATCCCACCAGCCTCTGCCTCCCGGGGCTGTTTTGGGGGGCGGGGATGGCAGTTGGGGACGGACGTACGCTCAAGGGATCTTGTGTCCTTCTGGAACAGGTTTCAGAATAATAATAATAATGGGTTTCCATCATGGGAAGAAGCAAATACCGGGGTGTTTTTCCTGCACTGGGAGAGATTAACCCTTTGTTTCCCTCCCTCCCCCCAGCGAGGACCCATGGCGGGCGGCGAAGATGATCAAGGGGTACATGCAGCAGCACAACATCCCGCAGCGGGAGGTGGTGGACGTCACCGGCCTCAACCAGTCGCACCTCTCCCAGCACCTCAACAAGGGCACCCCCATGAAGACGCAGAAGAGAGCCGCCCTCTACACGTGGTACGTCCGCAAGCAGCGGGAGATCCTCCGGCGTAAGTACCCGCGCCAGCGCTCGCCCTTCGGGGCTGGTGGAGGGGGGAGAGGGGGGTCCCTGCATCCCGGTCCTGCCTGTGGGTACACGGCACGTCCAGATCCAGGCGAGGAGGGCGAGGAGCAGCCCCCTGCCCTCTTCCCTGGCAGAGCCCCCTGGACCCAGGCTGCCCAGCATCTTCCCCCGAAACGGTTTTACAAGTGAAAGGAGTTTAAGGCGCCGGGAAACTCTGCGAGAGCCCCTCTCGCTCACAGTAACACTGTGCGAGTTCCCCCAAGCCCATCCCCACAGCTGAGCTGCTGTATATGTATATTCATTAGAGCTGGGAAAGCAATTAATGATTACACACAATTCGATGCCCTTCCCACCCCTGCCCCCCCTTTTCCTCTCTGTTTCTCGAAACTGCTCATTTTCTGCAACTACTTGCAAAAAAAGTAAAGGGAGGGAAAATAAAAAAAAAAAAGCCCCGCTGTAAATCGCTCCTGTCTGTAGCGTGGTCTGGGGCAGTCTGTGCTATTTAAAATGCAGATGTTTTTGACTGTACACAGACTGTTGCTTTTGCACCCCTCTCCCACCGCCCCCTGCCCTGGGTCGGTCCCGTCCCACTCGAAGCAGCCCTGGTTTTGGCTGAGCTGCCGGTGGAGGCCCTGCCACCCCCCATTCAAAGGGCTCTGCCTCCCGCCTCCTAAAGGATGCGATATCCAGCGGATGGGATAGTGCAGAAAAGGATTTAGCACCAAACACCACGGCTTTGAAAGCACACCTTGAGACGTTAGAGCAAACAGAGCCTGCTCCAGCTTTGCCCTGCGTTTCCCCGCTCGTCCCAGGGGGAAAAGCCATTATAATAAGAGGGAGAATTCCCCTGCAATAAAATAAACCTTCCCATTAATCTCCCTTTACTGCCGTGGTGACAAGTGCTGGGTCTGAGGCGGGCTGCCGGGGAAGGTCACCTCTGGTGCCTGCCTGCCCTGGGCATGGGGCCGGCGTCCCACCGCCCTGGGATGGGAGCGGGAGCCGGAGGGGAGCTCTGGGCGAGCCCTCTCGGCGGGCTTGGCAGCCATCCTGCCTGGCTCCTGGCTTGCAAAAATCCTCCCGAAACAAGTGTGTGCCGGCAGAGACCCTGCCCATGAATATGCATGCCCTGCACATGCCTCCCCATTAAACACCCTCCCGGAGGGATGGTAATAACTCCCCTGCCACCGTGCAAGGCTGGCCCCTTCCCTGGGGTGGGAGCAGGGAGCACCTGGCTTGCTCCAAAGCGTGCCAGGGCCGTGGGCTTGGGGTGCAGCGGGAGGGGACACGGGGTGGGGGGCCACCTCCGCGCGGGACGGTGACTCCGGGCGGCGGCTATAGGCCAGCTCACGTCTGCTCCTTTCTCTTTCAGAGTTCAACCAGACAGTCCAGGGTTGTGGAAATATGACAGACAAAAGCAGTCAGGATCAGCTGCTGTTTCTCTTTCCAGAGTTCAATCAGCAGAACCAGGGGGCTGCCCAGCTCGACGACGCCTGCTCCGAAACCCCCAGCAAGAAGTTGCGCCGCAATCGGTTCAAGTGGGGGCCGGCCTCCCAGCAAATCTTGTACCAAGCCTACGACCGCCAAAAGAACCCCAGCAAGGAGGAGCGTGAGGCTCTGGTGGAGGAGTGCAACAGGTAAAGGCTGCCCCGCGCTCCCCGCCGCCTCCTCACCCGCCCCGCAGCCTTTCTTCCAAAAAAACTCCGTGCGATGCTGGGCTCCCGGCTCACAGCCCCGGCTGCTGGCTCGTGGCACAGCTTTGCTGAGCTGCTTGGCCTCTTTCGGCCTTGGTTTCCCCATCTGGGTGGTGTCTGGGGCCAAGCGAGCTCCATGTTGGGGCAAGGATGCCATGGGGATGCTGCAGGGATGCTGCAGGGATGCCGTGGGGATGCTGCAGTGATGCTGCAGGGATGCTGGGGGGATGCTGTGGGGATGCTGCAGGGATGCTGGGGGGATGCTGCAGGGATGCTGCAAGGATTGCTGCAGCATTACAGCAATGTCAGAGGGAAGGGGGATGGCTTTTACAGTGTGGCTGTAGTTGGAAAGAGCAGGCAGGCTTTTAAGAAGGGCTTAAATGGCCCCAAATTCTCCTGTCTTCCTGAGGCCCCCTGCTTGGCAGCGCTGGCAGAGCCCCCCAGTAGCACCCTTGTTCCAACGTGTCCCCTTGCACGCGCAGGGCCGAGTGTCTGCAGCGAGGGGTGTCTCCCTCCAAGGCGCACGGGCTCGGTTCCAACCTGGTGACGGAGGTCCGCGTCTACAACTGGTTCGCCAACCGGCGGAAGGAGGAGGCTTTCCGCCAGAAGCTGGCCATGGACGCCTACAGCTCGGGCCAACCCCCGCACAGCATGAACCTGCTGCTGTCCCACGGCTCCCCCCACCACAACCAGCCCAGCGCCTCGCCTCCCAGTAAAATGCCAGGTAAGCCCTCGCTGAGGGTGCTCGGGCGGTGGAGCAATCGCAGCGCTGGCTCCCGTTTCTGCTGGGGCTATGGGGGCCGGGTACGGGTGGCCTTGGGGGGCAGATGGTCATCGTGGTCCCTGGCGCAGCCTTGACAAGCGATGGTGGCGCGGAGAGGCGCAAGCGCTGTCGCTGTGGCCGGGCCACGTGGCGGGGGCTGGATTTCCGTCCTGCCGAGGATAAATCGGCTTTTGCTTGGGTGGTTTAATTCACCGGAGTCCCCGCGCGGGCTGGGCTGGGCTGGGCAGGGAGGCGGGCTGCTCTGCGCCTGCCA